TGGACTTTTTCAATGGGTTTATCATTTCGAAATTGGAACAACGAGAAACCTATCCCGGAAAAAAATTAGTAAGGAATCGGACGATGACGAAAACCAAAAATATATTACATAACAAAAAAGAACTAACATGTTAGTCACGATACTGTTTGCAATCAAAAAAATATAACTATATTGTGCAACAAATATACTCGCACTACACGGAGGATTTTATCTACGTATACTTCACCTTTAACAGGATTCAGTCCGTGTCCAGGCGGTTCAAGCCCATGGAGATGATTACCATGGAATTCGCAATCGGAGCCTTTAGCTAGTCGAGGCACAGGGGTATTGTACTCAAAGCGCAACCCAGTTGCAAACCCGTATCGACTCAGACATCCTTTGGAGGTGTATCACATGTCCAGGGTACTCTGCACACATTAACGCCTACCCGAACCGATGTGCATCCCGAAAAGGAGGTAATGAAGGCCGTTTTACGACTCCTCTTAGAAGACATGGAATCATTGTTTCCCAGCCCTCTTCTCAAATAACTGGGGCTAATTAACTCGGCTACAGACCCTAACTGATTTATTTACTGAAATCAGGGTCCTTACAAGAGGGTAGTGAGTAGGATTTCCCGAAAAGCAGCTTTCGGAGATGTGCTCTATAATAGTACATTAGGGACGAGAAAATTCCTCGACCACCCCCGAAGAAACTGAGGCTTTTTGAGAGGTAGCTATTAGGTTGGTGCCATGTGCCATAGAATTAAACAGGTATCTCCGGAAGAAGCAAAAGAACAATTTGTTCCTAGTGTGCAGAAATTATATAGCACAAGACGGTACGATTCTCTCAGTCCGGACAGCCACTATCAGTAGTATTTCCTGGTGAGTGCACACTTATTATTGCCAACCTGTTAGTTGGCCTGAACTTCACGCTAGTTGTGCTATTTTTCCCCATCCCTTTGGTTTTGTTTTGTTGTGTTTCTCGATTCACCGTAATTTGTGTAGAATGCGGAAAATTTACCCCTCAGGATGCATGAAGCTTTTCCTGGATTAAATTTAATCTGAAAAGATGGCACGAAACAATCACAAATAGCTAAGACGTCCT